CCAGTATTTGAACCTGAGACCTCTTACACTCAAAGCAAGACTCATACCCCTGGATCAACAAACAAACAAAACACAAAACCCACACAAGGCCCAGATCCATCTGGAACTGTTACACCTGCAAGATCTTAAAGCACTGTATCATTGACACTTATTGTAATTTCTCAGAAACATTTCTGTGACACCTGAAACAATTTGTAACAGCCTGTTGGGGCTTTCCCAGTGTTTGATAACCACAGCATCATTGTACTGTATAAGGGAGATAAATATTTTTTTGTCATGAATTTGCATGTCTTGACATGACTTCTTAAATCCTGCATTTTGTCATGCTGGAGTTCTTTAGCTTGATTTCCTTATTCATGTGAAAAAGTTTTTTTTCAAGTACTTACAATGTGTGAATCACAAAAATTAACTGTACTATACATGACAGAATGTAAAAAATTCTACAAAGGAGAGGAGGCCAGTGGGCTCATCTAACTAATAATTGTGACATTTAACATGCTGTCATATCTCTGTAGAAACAACAATATATATTGTCAATACTGGGTTTGTAGTGAATGACTTGTGTAAGAGTTATATTTTTAATTAATTTGGGACATGTTAAAAGGATAAGGGATATGCATTAAGAATGTGAAACTTCACACTACAGTTAAAAGGATTTGAATGTTTCTTCTTTTTTTGTTTTAAATCAGACATGCTGGAACAGTGGCTGGCTCCATTGCAGTACTGTGGCCCTGGGTTCATTCACAGAGCTGGGGAACTACTGTACCTTCACAGAATTTGAATGCGTTCCTTGTGTTTGTGTGTATCCTCTAGTTCCTCTAGTTTTGTATTATCAAAATAAACTTTAGTGCACTATACACATCTATCTTATAATAAGTGATTACACTAAAAAAAAGTAAAATCTCCTAAAAACATCTATTTTTCAATCCATGCAAGTGGATACTGGGGCTGGATTTGCATAACCAGAGTCCCTCCAAGCCATACCATACCCCTTGCTGTTGTCCATGTCTCTTTCCCTGTCCTGGCTCTGAAACTGTGCTTGTTCAGTCCTGTGCAGGAGATCAAAGGAACAGGTTTTTCCTCCTTAGGGCCTGTACAAGGCCCACAGTCTTTTCCAGCACTCCTTCATCGTGGAGAAACCATTTGGCGACATTGAACTTCATCCTCCCTCTGAGGTTCACAAGGATTCTCTGCTCCAGCTCCTTTGCTCCCCACTCTGTGTTGTGCTGGATGAAAGTGTTTCTCGCATTCCACAGTCCCTGTTTTATTTGGCACACCAGCAGCCATAGCAAGTACTGCATCCCTTTGTCCAATCCGGTGCCAGCTCCAGCAGCATGCACTGGTCGCTTAGCATTGTTCCTGCTCCCAGGAGTTGCATAGTGCCCACTTTGGTGAAGGGACAGCTCCAGAACATGTGCTCTTGCGTTTTCTCGACGAAACACGTGTTCCATGGGCAGTGCAGGTTCCTGGTAAGCAAGTGTCTGTAGAGGGCCTCTCTGGTTGCCAGCAATCCAGTTGAGGTCCTTTAACTTGTTGTTGAGTTCCTTTGGTTGCGTCTTTTCCCAAGTTCTCTGGCAACACGCAACCTCTCTCCTGGCGCCAGTTGCCCTCTCACCCCTTTGTAAAGGGGCCTGTGGTTGGTGCAGAGCTCTGGCTGTCTCATGGCCTCGTACCTCCAGCTTCACTTGACAGCCTGGGTGTAGCTCTCTGGTCTCTTTCACTTTTGGTCCAGTGTTTGTCCACTGGATCAGGTGTGTCATCAGGATAGAGAGCCACAGCCTTACAAAGTACTGGTATTTGTGGCTGATCAGTTTTCATAATGCCCAACAGAGGTTGCAGAAAAATATGTAGTCGTGTTTTAGGGGCAAATTCTGCATGTCTCTCCCACCTTCCTTGATCACCTGACACGTTCAGTTTCTTGTCCTATCATCCAGTACCCGCCTCCCCAAATAATAAATGGAAAACCAAAGCTGGCAGGGTGTCTGCTTTCAACACCATCACTTTCCCTGTGAGGATCAGTGATGGGGTCTTCCATAGCTTCGCGTTTACCTCAATGATCCTCTCAGTCCAGTTTATGGTCTCATTATCCTGGGTCTGGAACAAAACCCCCAATACCTTAAGGGGCTCCACGCAGAGCTCGAGACTTTCCAGCGCCATCTTGCTGTCCTTCCAGGGTCTGAAGAACTTGAGCTTGCTGTTAAAGTGGTTGAGCTTTGATTCTGAGGCCCTGGAGTATTGCTCTATGACCTGCAAGGCTCTCTTCAACTCCCTGTCTGAGATCAGCAGCAGCGTCATATCATCTGCGAACTTGGAGATCTCGAGGGCTTTCCCTGTGCTGCCCAGTATCGCCAAGCCATTGATGACTGGGTCCTGTCTCACTGCCTCTTCCCATGGCTCTGTAAAGAGAACATAGAGAAGAGGTGTAAGAGGACGCCCCAGATGTCCGTTCATGTTGACCCTGCTGCCAAATTTCACTGCAACTGCATACAAGTGTGCTTGTGTGCTTATCCTGTGATGAATGAGTGTCCTGACCAAGGTGTATCCTGTTTTTTTCCTGTTTCTTGCCTGGATAGGCTCTGCCTGACCTGTGTCCCTGAAAAGGAAAAAGAGGTTAGAAAATGGAGGGTAGATCAGTGAAATCATGCTAAAATTATTACTCAGTTGTCAGATTTCATTGTGAATACTGTGTATCATTGACATTACTACAAAAATAATGTAAGTAGTCAAATTACAATTAAGAATTATGGCCATGAATGAGAAACATTTCTTTATACACAGAGTGGTGGCTGAATGTCACATGTTGGTTTTGGTTTCTAAATAGAATGATTCTCTACATATTTGAACCCTAAACTGGGCTCACAAAACCGCTTTGCCACTGCCAGGAGAATTTTACAATGTATTACACATTCTGGACTTCAAGATTTATTAATGGCCACTTTAGGCAGTTTTCAACATTTCTAAAGGTAAGAGCTATCATTGTATTATTTTTTATTTTCAAATTAAAACATACTCCCTCCTTTCTTTTGTGATGCTATGCTTCTACCTCCTAAGGTGACAGCTCTGAGATGCACAGTGCCACACATGTCATTGTTTTGCTGTTTCTGGGACAAACCAAAGACATTTATCTTTCCGACCTCTTTACCCATTATATCATGCCTGTTGAGACAATATGACACAAAACTAAGAAAATATTATTCCCGGATTCTTCAGAACATAGCCTCACATGCCTTTTGTTCAACTTTGTTAATATTACATCAGGATTTCTATAATTATTAAAACAATGAGATTACTCATTTTCTAAGAGAGTTAGCTCCTTGATTCTTGATCCTAGAAGCCAAAATCCTTATGTATAATGCCAGGTGTGGTGATTATGTTGTCTTATTTTGCAATAGGTGTTGCACTTCAATAGTTGGAAAGTTTTGTAGCCACAAAGTGGTTGAGCTTTGATCCTGAGGCCCTGGAGTATTGCTCTATGACCTGCAAGGCTCTCTTCAACCCCCTGTCTGAGATCAGACTCTCTGTGTAGAGAGTAGTACGTTGGGAAGACTTCTTGCAGGCTCACAGGGAAACTTTAAATGTTCTTTTTAATGGTTCATGCCAATCATGGGACTTAGCTAACTAGGAAGGAAGAGAGAGACAGGTTCATCCTTTGGGAGACCACAAGTGGAATGAGAAAGAACTGGGTTTTCCTCACCCCTTTTATAGGGTAAAAAGGCAGGAAACGTTATAGGGGAAACGTCAATGGATCAATGGAACGTACCAATTTGGTGTGTTGGGGAGCAAAATATTCTGAATTGTTCTTATTGGATATACTATTCTTGTCTGGCCCTCTTTATCATGCTTGCCCGTCAGTCTGCATTTTCATTTGATATAGGGAGTTGTGGGTGTAAGTCCAATCAATACAAAAGTGCCTGCCGAGGGAACAGGTACGCCTTCAATCTTCAGTCACGAGTCACTGTTACAACGGCAATTAGTCGTTAATGATTAAGACCTTGTAGCTAACTTCAAATTACTCATCAGTCCATGAAATAACATCTAGCCGTTTATTCCTGGTAAAGGTAGCGGCAAGCTGGAACCTGTTAAAGAAACACAGGGTACTGTACACGTTGTGACTACACCTTCGACTTAGACACCTGTCCATTGCAGAGCACGCTCACTCACTTACAAACGGCGACAGTTTAGAGACGCTAATTTTAACAGAGTTGGCATGTCTTGTGGAGATGGGAGGGAATCGGAAATGTGGACAAATCTCAGGTATACTCAGTAGACATACACTACACACTGCCGAACCAAACTCGGTACCCAAAAGATATAGAAGTCAAGAGCATCCTTATGCACCATGCCACCACCATGCCATGTAGTTAAACTACAGTACTGTTTTCAAAATAAATATACAGCTGAGGCAACAGCGAACCGTCGATTGCCGCAAAAACCGCCCCAAGATCAAATCATTTTTATTTCTTTATAGATTACTGTATATACTCAATGCCGTGGCTACATTTGTAACTCTTTCTCCACTGTGAGTTTCATTATTGTCTACCGAACTTTGTAGCTACTTCTTTTCAGCTTCGTTCAAATAATTTAATTTCGCTCAGCGTAAAACCTGTAAACAACGCATTCAGTTTAACATATTCAAACACTAAACATTAAATTCGAGTATGATCTAATGAACCGAAACACCATATGATACGAATACGAAAAAACGAATTCTGGCACCGTTAAGAAAAGACCTTAAACCAAATTAGTGCCGCGTCCTTGTAGTTTTAAGCTGGCCATGCTGCATTTAAAAGTATCAAATGCATATGACGATTATTTCAAATATTTGCAAACACATAAAGTAGGAGAAAGCCATTGATGTGGTTTTTAAAGCGACCACGCATTTGTAGCTGTTCGGACACTTGTCTTCTATAGGCAGCTACAACGAAAAGTGTGGGAACAATTCTTTTCGGATAAGAAATGGTTAAAGCTTGCAGCGCCGTCTCCCTTGGCGCTGCTACACATAATTTCATAGTACCATTATCAGAGGCAGCCAGCCTGTACTACACCCTACCGGCTGTTTCGTGGCTCAGCCCTTCATTCACAGTCGCTTCTGGCGCTTCTGTACCTTTCTTATCAATCTGTAACGGGAAAGAGTCTTAAACCTAGTGTGGACCGATATTTCGCCATGGATGCTTTGAAATCAGCCGGTAGAGCAATAATCAAGAGCCCCGGAGTACCACGGCACACATGGGGTACCTCCAAGCACGAAAGTAAGTGGTTTATCTTGTTATTCAGTGTGACACGCAGCTACTACGGTGCGTACTTGGCTAGGTTGCTGCAGAATGAAACCGAAAGCGTTGAAATAAGGCAACGTGAGTTTTTTCCTTTTAACCTTAAGACTGATTCAATTCAGCACAGAGCAGGTAAAAAAATAGTTAACTGTGTTATTTAATCGGAAGTCGCAGTCATCCTTTTATGTTGCTGTTCATGTCATTTTCAACCAGTATTTGATTTTTCTAAGCAAGTTACTGCAAGTGCATTACTGGTTTCCTTTTTATTTCCGCCCGGTCTTTGGCGTCTTGTCTTGTCTTGTCACTGGGTCCTAGTGCCCATTTTCGTATTTCAAGAGGAGCGGTCGATGTTTGGTGTTTCGTACAGCTACAAACAACTGTAATAGTATATTTGCATTCCTAGTTTGAAAACTCAAAGATAACGTGGGGTCCTGTCTGTTAAAGTTTCATACTTAATCCAAGGTCCCCACTTTCTGTAATGTATTCTTATCATTAGGATGGAATTTGTAAACTGCTGTTTTACAGTCTTATCTAAAAAAACGGTACACCCGTGTTGTGTCTTCTAAATTCTGAAAATTAGATTGTCTGGTTCAGAATATTTTGTTTTTTACCTTATAACAACAATGAATACGATCGCGCAAGATTCAATACAATATTTTTATATGTTTTCTTTTCATAGACGTAAAACGAAAATCGTCTTTTTAAATACAAATTAGACAGCCGTTGCTACAGTACGTGTAGAAATTACTTTGTTATCATATTATGTCGAATGTGTGCGTGATATTTAGCATTTGTTTCCACCAGTTAATTAAACCATCAAGAAACTTTGTTTACGAAAACCTATTGGCGACACTGAAATGTAAATGTATCTAATCAGTTAGAATGAAGCCCGGATAAGCCTGCACATATATTAATTTCTAACCCCCAAATTAAATAATCTTTCCTCTGTCTTTGAAATGCATATCGTCTTCCCCCAGGACTTGTAACCGTTTCCACGGAAACAACGAAAGGAAAAAAAAGTCTGGGATGTGTATTAGTCGTAAATCCATTGTACCTCTATGAAGGCAGACGTAAATCCAGTATTTTAAAAAAAAAACAATATTAAACTGAAAAAAACCCAGATAAAATTAATTTGAAATGTGTCATATTTATTTATCATATTTATTATCCCCTAATGTCTTTAAAATTATATTTATAGAATAATAAAAAAATCAAACATCCCTTTCTTGGATTGCCTTACATGGTAACTAATATGAATGCACAGCAAGTGTGACCTTGACCATTAAAAGTAAAAATATATCTTACAACAACATTATTATAATTAATAATAATAATAATAATAATAATAATAATAATAATTGCAGTGTTGAATATTATGGTCAGACTTCAACTTTCCCAAAGGGCAGCAAATTGCAGAATTAAGTTCTGTTAGCGATCTACCCTATCCCCTAATTTGCTTTTAGTTTTATGGGCCATCATAGGCTCTAAATCCTGCTTTTGTGTCATTACTTATCTAATACACTATATTTTAATATTATTTTATATAACATATTAATAGTGTTATTTGAAATTCACTTGTTGATAAATGGTTTATAAGTTGTTCAAAATGCTGTTTAAAGTTGAGTCAGAGAAATAAGAATTAAGACCTTTCGTATACTTTCATTATGCAGTATACATCAGGAATTTGTATTTTTTGATTCTCCAACTCATTTTTCTGATTTATAGTTCCCTTTTTTTGCTGTTCTAACTCGTAGCAATGGGGAATGAGATTATGCCTTTAGTGAAGTTTACACCTCATTGGTGAATAATGATGGCTTCATTTAATGAGTTTCCGGAAATGTCTGCGATTCTAATTTGAGCATGTTGGACTTTTAAGATAGTATTTGGGTTAGAAAAAATTAATATTTTGGATGTTATGGTTTTAAGAGGGTTACATTGTGAGATAATGTTTATATTATCAATGTGTGTGGAGAATGTAGAAACTGCAGAAATGCTGGGAGGCATTTTAGGCAGATCAATTGAGAATGATTCTCAGAAGTGTTCTGTCTAAATAAACCAGACATGCTGATAGTATTGAGATTTGACTCTAGACAGTTTCTGTTTTTTCAGCATAATTGGTTTGAGTGTGTTAATTTGTATGTTAATTGATTTTAGATCCTAACTTATACTTCTTTTGTAGTACTGTCTGTGTCATTGTTATTATTAATAATTGAAACCTATTGTATATATTTTAAATCTATGTATTTGTCTTCATGCAGTATATTAGGATGACTGGATATGGAAAGAAATATGTGTAGAAATCATTCCTATTTCTGTATGGATGGGAGGTATAATCCACCTTTAAAGCCTAAAGCTATGTTTCTCTTTGGTTAGATGATTTTTATTTAATACAAAATAATGCAAAGTACTAAATGTACACATGAGGGCTGTATTCAGACTGATTATCCATGATAGAGTTTAGAATGAATTAGGGAAGGGATGACAACAACCAAATTAGATCAGACTCAGCTGTCAGTAATTTGTAATCACATTGTAAATAGTATATGTTATCCCCTTCTCTCCCTCGCAAACATCTTTCTGCTTCCCACCTCCATCACATCTTCATCTTTGCAGCTGCCCCTTGGTCACAACTCACTCTGGCTGGGGCACAAGCCTCCTTGTTCTCTGGGCAGGAGGTTAGCTCTCAGCTAAGCGGGTTAAGCCAAACTTCACTGTGACTAAAACCTTTCAGAAACCTTTCAGTACGCTTAATGCTTGAGTGTTGTTATTCCTCATGAGCTTATATTTTAAAAGAATGTAAAAAAAAACAATTTTGTGAAAGAGAAACAGAACAAAAATATTCATGTCACATTTCTATCTGCCACTGAGATCAAACTGAGTATATAAAATACGCTTGTTACTTTGACCTTACTCCTCACCACAATCTGTAAGTACAAATGCCACTGGGCACTGTGTTTACATTAAAGATTGTAGGATGTGAATTGTAAATTTTGTAGTGAACTCCACCGTGCCTGTGGTGTGTTCAATATATTTTAAACATGGTAGCGAGATAAACTCCCAGGAGAAACAACAAAGATGCACCAAGGTGTGGGAGAAAACTCAAGCACAAACTGTCTGGGAAATTAATTTAATTGATTAAAAAAAAAAAAACTTCCCAACAGGCAATTCAAATTGAAAAAGAACAATATCCAGCTTTCAGAAAGCCACAATGTAAACAAAACTTTTTGTACCTGTAATATCACATACAAATAAATATTCTACAAATATAAAAATATTCAATAAAAGGACAGTGTGTTTTAAAAACAAAAATCAGTGCTGTGAAGCCCTTTTCAGTTTTAATACCATTCCTTACACTTGCAGACACTTGTGTCAAACTGAGGAGGAAAAGCTTCAGTATGGAGAAACTAAAGTAAATTTAGATAATTCTTTTCATATGGTTCTGAAATTGATGTAGACAAATAATGAGGATTTCCAATGGCATATGCATTGCTGTTATTGACAAGTAACACACTATGTGATAAAAAATTAAATATTACCAAGGAAACTGTAAAATATAGTGCCTTTAAAAGTATTCAGACCTTTGCAGGATTTTCGCATTTTGTTGCTTTATAGCTTGCAGTCATGACACATTGATGGAGCAATTAATGTTTTGTATATTTACAACCTACTCCACAAACAACAAAGCAAAAAAAAAACTAAAGAAATAATTAGTTAATATGAGATAAAAATGGAAAGGCCATGATTGTAAAACTATACAAACCCAAACCTTAATTCATTTATGTACACAGAATTACCTTAACAAGCCTCACAATTACTTCAGTGGCCTCTGTGTGCAGTAACAATGGTTCTGATGACCTTAGAATAAAAACTGTATGAACCGTCTCTGTGAAGTTCCTTAGTCATCTAATTAATTTCAAGCAACGACTCGGCTATTATGAATAACAAGCTTTTATAGAAAGTTGGGGATAAAGTCAAGTCAAGAACAGAAAAAAGGCAAGTAATATCTAAAATATCCCTGTGAGTTCAGTCTGTTTGTTAATTAAAAAATAGAAGGTGAGTCTTACCACCCAGACACTACTTTAAAAACTAACACCCCCAACTAGCAGCTATTCAAGAATGAAACTAGTGAGGGATGCTGTAACGAAGCGTTCTTTCAGGACACTATGCAGACAACACAATCTGGGGCGGAGTGAAGAAAACATGGGGGAAAAGGCATGCAAGGGGCTGGAAGGAAAACAGGGGGCGTGTCCATGGTGCACTGGTGTTCAGAGGAGGTGTGGCCGAGGCAAACAGTCCGAGGGAATCCGAGGCGAGTCCAAGACCGGGTAATCCATCCTGACAGACAAACAGAGTTAAAAGCCGGAGCAGGATCCGGCGGAGGGTCGGGGGAATAAATGGGGGTAACGGGACCAGACGCTCCCAGTCCCGGACCCAGATGGTCAGGATGCCGTTGTGAAGCCTATGCCGTCGAGTCGCTCCTGGCGGGTAGGTGGGCTTCCAGGCGTCCATTTTCCAAAGCCGAGCCCCGATAGGCAGGAACGTCTGGCTTATATAGCACGGGGGGCTGGAACCGGAGGCAGGTGCGGGAGATGAGTAAAAAACAAGGAAGGGCTGGAGAGTCCTTAAGAGGAGGGGTTTACGATCGTGACAGATGCCACTGTGAAGCCAACAACATCATAGGAAGGGTCTGAATATTTTTACAAGTTATTTTTACACATTTGTACAGGATCATCACATAATTCAGAGGGGCCACAAAGAAAAAGTATGGGTGGTATGTACAATTAAATCTATCATGGAGTGTTCACTCGCTTCAGCCTTAACCTAGAAAGAATAGTCTGTTATAATGTACTTGTGGAAATGAAGCGAATAAAACCTCATGAAAAAGGTTTAGCCTGGAGTATTCTTTAAGTTTTTAAAGTGCAGTCTTCTAAAATTTTAATGTACTTATTGCTGAATTTCTTTCTTCTTGAATTCCTTTT